CAGCCTAGCTCCAGCTCCCAGATGCTATGGCTGCCTCAGGAACACCTGGGGAAGCAATTCCTTATAGACAAAGTCCAGGCCCTGGGCACAGGTCGCCTGCCTGCTGGCTCTGTGACCTTGGGTAAGATACTGGAGTTCTGTGCCTCAAATTCCCCATTTTAAAAGTGTGAATAGTAATGGTAGCTACTTTGTGTGGGCATAGAACAGAGACAAGTTAATAACTACAAAATATTTGGTGAGCTGGGTATGGTGATGTATACCTGTAATTCTGACACTTGGGAGATGGAGCATGAGGGTCAGGAATTCAAGGCAAACCTGTTATACAGTGAGCTTGGGGCCAGCCTGTGGTACATGAGACTCTAACTCAAAAGGAAAAATTGGCAGGGCCTACGGTCCATAGTTAGCCCTGTATAAATGTCACTATGTAAAATGAAGCAAGACAGATAGGCTGTAACGTCATGAACTACTTTGTGCAATCTGCCCGGCCTTGGCTCTCTTTTAATGAAAATAACATGTTCAAGCTAGCTGCGTGCCATCCAGAGCATGTGGAAACCCGCCTGGGCAGGTGCCAGGGGCACGGGGTGATCAGCCCTGCTGTGTGAGGACAGAGCTGCTTCCACACCAGCCGCTCTCTGGGTCACTGATAAAATCCAGCCCTCTTCATAGGGTAGCTCAGCAAGTGTTAGGACAAAGCCCAGGAAAGACCACAAACTGGTCCTTCCGTCCTCACCTGAGGCAGGAGTAGCCTCTATACAGTGAAGGAGGAGCCCAGCTGGACTGCTCTGGGCCGAAGGGAGGAGGCTGGGAGGGCCAGGATGGGGCTGTAGTCAGTTATTTCCTAACTTTAAAATGCTGAGACGGCTCAGCGGGAAAGGCACTTTATGCCACGTCTGATAACCTGAGTTTGACCTCTGGAACTCACACGGTGAGTGGAAGAAGAGAATGACTTGTGCCAGTTGTCCTCAGACCTCCGCACACGTGACTCGATGAGCAGATAAGTGTAAAGGGAGCTAGAATGGGCTTTATTATACTTGCTTGGGAGGTAAAAGGTGGGTCGGATGCCATGCAAGAAGCCCCGGGTTCCACTCCCATTGCCACAGAAACCACGTGTCTTGTTGCACACCTTAATTTCAGCACTTGGTAGGTAGAGACACGAGGATCAAAAATTCAAGGTTATTCTCAGTTACAGTGTCAGAATTCCAGGCCAGCCTGGGCTACATGCAACCCTGTCTTAAAAAGAGATGAAAAACAGATCCCTAAATACCTTAGTGCACAGCTGGTTGCAGTAAATGAAGCTATTGTATAGATAGCATTTCGTGCTCTCAGCACCTGCCTTCGTGAAGAGGTAACGCTGATTTCCAGACTAGGAAAGGGGTGGTAACAGTTAAATTCCAGAGAGCACGGAATAATTCCCTCATCCACTCATTCAACAAATGCAGCCTGGCACTGTCTGGCCCTTGTTGGCATCTTGCTGTTCCCGCTAGCATGTCAGGGTTGGTGCAGGTAGGACAGAGTCTGGTGCTGACAGAAAGAGCCAGTGAAGAGAGGTGAGGTGGGGACTCTGAAGAAGCCACGCCTTCAAGACCTTGACTTTCCCTTGGCCCAGGAGCCTCCAAAGGCTCCCTTTGCCAGTAGCACACTGGAGACAGAGGATTATGTGGAACCAAGCTCAGGGAAATGCCCCGTGTTTATGCTGGCTCTGAAGCTGCAGGAGAGGGGTCTGAGGAGTCAAAGGACCTTCTCAGCAGCTCAACACAAGGAGAAGCACTAGGCCAGGGCAAAGGCCTAGCTACCATGGGAACTAGACGCTCCCTCAGAGTCAGGCCTGTTCCTGGCCACAGACCTCATCTTAGATGATTACAACTGCCTAGAGACAAAAAGCAAGAATCATATAATATCTGGACATGGGGAACAATCTGAATGCCCAAGGACTGATGAACACACTTGAAATATGATGTGTCTATTGTCAAGACAACCCAGCCATGATGTATCCAGCCATAGGATGGATACATGCTGCAACATACAAACACGCAGGAACCAAGGCAAAGCAGCAGCCACAGGACAGGAAGTCATTGCTATGGCAGTCCTAGGGAGGAAAGGACATTGAGGTGGGAAGCAGCTCATTGGCTGCTCAGTTGGAAGGGAAACAGCGAATAAAAAAGTGGTCACCAGTGGGCAGGAGGCTACCTCTGAGGAGGCGAGAATGTTCTTCAGTTGATTGTGCTGATGGTTGCCCACGCCCATGAAAACACAAAAGCCATGACCTGTTCGTTCCAAGTGGGGCTGTGCTCTGTGTGAGTTACACCTTAGGAAAGTTGTTTTGAAATGAGCATCAGGGGAAAGGGGCCTCTGAGATGAAGCAGAAAGGCTGAGGTCAGAAACAAAGGCCAGGCAGTGCTATCCTGGCTGCTCCCCAACTCGCAGACTGCATCTCCCACAGCATAGCTGTGGGAGTCCCCAAGCCATGCCTGGGGAAGATAAATTGACCCCTCAAGGTCTGGGGCTGGGTCCCTTCTCCCCTGACAGCTCCCTTTCTGTGTTTTTTCTGGCACAAGAAACACACTGTCTTCTTGTATAAATAGGGGGATTGATGGCAATTTCCCTTTCTCCTTCCTGGTGGGCTAAGAGGTGGGGCCAAGGGGAAGAAGGAGCCCTGGCTTCCAGATAGAAATATGCAGAGACTAGAGAGGGACGGAGCCTGCTCTGGCTCTGGCCCTGCCTTCCTAGCACTTGAACATATGGTAACAAGAGGACGGCGGAGAGGTCCACACCATTCCTCCTCAGGGCAGATGGCCAACAGAGAAGCTGGGAGGCCAAATGCAGACTGTCTTCCCAAGCTCTAGCCAAGGAAACACAGGCACCACCCTACTTCATTCTAGGTGATCCGGGCTGTCTGGAGACAGGAGAGAGAATCACAGCTATTGGAGGTCTGGACCAGTTGCTGCTGTTTGGTTCTTTTGCATTGCGTGCCAGTGCTAGCACGCCTACCCCCTTTTCTTTAGTAAAGCCTTACACAGCACCCCAGCATGTAAAGTGAATGTCCCCCGTGATTCTTGATGGAAATACAGGGATTCCTGGGCCCATGTGGTTAATTGTCAGGGGATGACCTAGTCCAGGTTGCCCTCCCAGGTTCCCTCCAGTTCTGACCTGAGGAGTGGATTTGACCCAAGGTGAAGAGTGTGCCCTGACATGATGGTACACATCTGTAATAGTAATACCAGCACTTGAGAGTTTGAGTCAGGAGGATTATGAATTCAAGGCTAGCCTTGAATTCAATACCCCTCAAAGATTACCAGGCCTGAGGGCTCACAACTCCAATTTCATCATTTGGGAGGCTGGGCCGGGGGAACTGAGGCAAAGGCGAAGTCAGCCTGGGCTGCACAGTGAGCTGCAGGCCAGCTCCTGCTACAGCGTTGACTCTATCTCAAAACACCAAAGTCAAAGCAAAACCCAAATAAAAAGTGTAAGTCAGTCTGCTACCTACAGTGTTCATTGGCACATCACGTCCTTTCTTTAAATCTTCCCTGTAAGATGAAAAGTATAATACTTTCTCAGAGGGTTGTCGGGAAGACTATACAGGCTTAGAACCTTCAGCCTGGTCTCGGGCTCAACAAATGACATCATTATCATAATCCCATCTTGGGTGTGATCCTCAACATGGTTCAAGTCAGGGATGTGCTGTGAGAAAGGGTATAGGAAGGCTGATCAAGAAAGGCCTCGGCAGCAGCCTAGGAAACAGTATCTGTCGTGGAAATGACTGCAGGAGGGGCAGGCAGAGTGCAATCAGCTCTCCTCCCGCTGTCACTGGGGGACACTGTTGCTTTGCTCTCCATTAGGGCCAACCACTCACTCTCCAGCTTCATCTCAGTATCTATCCAGGGCATGGGAGGTGGGGCAGAAAGAGCTTACTGTGCCCTCAGACTTTGGGGACCTTCCTGGGTTCTTGCTTCCACTGGCCACACCTGACAGAGGTGCTGGGATGTGAATTGTTGAGAGAGAAGGCTCTCTGCTGTCCTACAAGGAGAGAACGGGCTTCTGTGACAACTGGCACCCTTCACTGAGAACTCAGATCCCCAGAGGGCATCCATTGCCTGGGAAATGGTGTGGCCCAGCTGGGGTCCTGTGATTCAGCCACACTCAGCAGTCCCAGGAGAGCGATTTAGCAGTTTCCCCTTACAGAATTCTTTCGTCCTTCTCCATGTAAATACGAGAGTAGTTCTTGTCTCTACTGCCTGACCGCCACTCCTTCTCATGGTCTCATTAACCCTTTTCCCCAGTTACCGGTGTGACTATAAAAGGCAGGGCCACTGGACAGTCTGGATCCAGAATGGAAGTAGTGACAGGGACAGGGTGTGTGGATGTCCAGCTGTGCTCGGGTCCTGGCCCCATTCTGCCCCCAACTTTACATGTGTCCTGCCTTTTCCTTCATCTCCTCCTTCAGAAGTGTACAGCATGAAGATGTGTTTCTTTTCTTTAACGTGGGGATTTTGATTAAGAGAAAGGGAATGGAAAAGGCAGGGAGGGGAGGAAGGAGACCATCCTCTGGGGACAGGAGCAGCAGAAGAGAAGAGAGAGTACAGGGGTGGGAGGAGATGTGTTTCTACAGACCAGATGTGATGGCTCCTACCTGCCTGTAAGCCCAGCACATGAAAGGTAGAGTCAGGAGAACCAGAAGGCTACATAGCAATTTCCAGATTGGTATGGGCTTCATGAGACCCTGTCTCAAAGCAAAAGAAGTCTCAGGGCTCCACTATAATTTAAGCATGCAAACCATTTTGTATTCTTTTCTTTTTTAAAAAATTATTTATTTTTATTTTGTGTGCATTGTTTTTTTGCCATGGTTACCGAGGCCCCTGGAACTGGAATTACAGATAGTTTTGAGCTACCATGCGGTTGCTGGGAATTGAATCTAGATTCTCTGGAAGAGCAGTCAGTCCCCTTAACCACTGCATCATCTCTCCAGCCTTGGATACTTTCTCACTTTGACTCTGTCAGGTCCTCTTCTCCTTGGATCTTGTTTTATCTCCTGCTGAATGAGATCTAAAACATAGAGGGTATTTAGGGTTGATCTCTCTCTATCATATGCACCTCCCCAGGCCACTCTCTGGAGACTACCTTGTTTTTTTGGTTTTTTTTGTTGGTTTTTTTTTTTTTTGGATTTTTTTGAGACAGGGTTTCTCTGTAGCTTTTGGTTCCTGTCCTGGAACTAGCTCTTGTAGACCAGGCTGGCCTTGAACTCACAGAGATCCACCAGCCTCTGCCTCCACCACCGCCTGGCTACCTTGTCTTTATAGAGAGGTACGGGATCAAGCAGGCAAATTCTCCATCAATAGCAGCTCAAGGGAAAGAGAAGGGGTTCCTCTTTCAAAGGATAGACACTGGGAGGGCATCATCGACCCGAGAGCCAGACAGAGGTTCCCCCATACCTCCCGGTGCTAAGGATGGTCTTGGGTGATGTGCTCACAGGCTCTCAACTTTCTGATTGCTCACCCAAAGGGCAACTGTGTCCACAGCAGCTAACTCTCATGCAGCGTGGGACTTGCTGTTCTGGGCACCTTGCCCTGACATCCCCTTCTTTCTTTCTTGGCTAAGCTCAGGTGCTATTAACTCCAGAACCACGGAGAGCTTTAGTGATGCCCTGAAGAGCATACAACTGGTTCAAGGCAGGACTGAGAACCAATGCAGCAGCTGACCCCAGGGCTCCTAACTACTGTATCAGAAAAGAGCCAGCACATCGTAGTGGTAACCACATATGGAGCATGATGCAGACACATCATGTGTGCTGCTTGGAATCCCAGACAACCCTAAGACAGGTCCTTCATTATATAATCCATGCTTCACAGACCAAGAAATGGAAGTGATAGAAAAATCTAAGGTCACATGCTAGCAGCTGCAGGACCCCAGCTGCACGCCCTAAATTCTGGGGTTGGGTTTCCAGCTGCTTGGGCTGTTCTTCATAAACCTATCCCATTCCTGGTTTCCAAGTTTCTGTTCCTCTCATTGCCACCTTCCCGTTTTCCTAGCCCCTGTTCTCCACCACACTGCCCCCATCTACCAGCACTCTCCCACAGCTCTGCTTTACAGAATGATAAAGGGGGGCACTCGGAACACCCCCCTCGTCTCACATCCCCAGGGAAGGCTCAGCAGTGGCCAAGCTAGACAGCCAGACATAAAATCCTGCCTGCTCCCCCGCCCTGTTTCCCATCACTCATCTGGGAATCCTGGGTGAGGGAGGGAGCTAAAGTGCAGAGTGTTCATTTAATATTAACAAATTGAAATGAATTCTTTTAATGCCAATTAGCTTGGAGCGGCCCCTTATTAATAGTAATTTAGATTCATACTTGGAGAAGCGGATGGGGGCTGGGCCATATGTGCCCAGAATGTCAATGTGACAATGGGGCTGGGACCAGAGGGAAGCAGCTCTTCCTCTGCCCAGAGAGAGGAACAGATACAGTCACCCCAAGGCCATCTTTCTAGAGTGAGCTACTCTTACAGTTTTATTTTTGTAGATTCAGTAATTCTGAATAGACTGAAACTCTAGACACACATTCCAGTCATTTACCTTCTTAGAAACAATTTTAAAAAGGAAGGATTAGCCAGGAGTCACAGTGCACGCCTTTAATCCCAGCACTTGGAAGATAGAGGCAGAAGGATCTCTCTGAGTTCAAGGCCAACCTGGTCTACATAGTGAGTGCTAGGCTAGACAGAGCTACATAGTAAGACCCTGTCTCAAAAACAAACAAACCAAAGGGGTATTGCCACCCCTGTAGACCCCGGCTTGACCAATAGTAAAGTGAGAAGAAACATCATGTTCCTCTTCTGGGCCCCCCCAGGAGGTAAAAGCCCAGCAGGCTGAAATGGAACTGGCTTGCATGTTTCTAAAACTTAAGGGGAAAAGCAAGAATTAAAAACTCAACTCCTGTACCTAAGAGTTGCCCAGAATAGACAAGTGGCAATGAAAAGTCGGGGTCATCTGATCTTCCTACCTCCACTGACTTTGGAAGCAGAGGAGGTGCCCCAGGTGGAGGAGTGCAGAAATAGGACAATTGCTTCTTCTTCCCGGGCATTCCTCTGAGGGCTGGGGAAGGGCGATTTAAATGCTGAGAGTTCTGGAAGGTGGAGGAGGCTAGTGTGGAAAGGGGGCTGGGGCAAAGGGAGACATGGGCAAGATGGTGAAGCTTAGAAAATAAAAACAAAACCAGCTTAGTATACAAAGGAGCAGATAGAGGCCAGGTTTCTTTCTTTCTTTCTTTCTTTCTTTCTTTCTTTGTGGTTTTTCGAGACAGAGTTTCTCTGTAGCTTTGGAGTCTGTCCTGGAACTAGCTCTCGTAGACCAGGCTGGCCTTGAACTCACAGAGATCCGCCTGCCTCTGCCTCTGCTGGGGTTAAAGGTGTGTGCCACCACTGCTACTGCTACCACCACCCAGAGAGGTCAAGTTTCTTAAACTGAAGTGAATACATAAGAATCAAGGCAAAATAAAAGGGGAAAGAATGTGTTAAGTATTCTATATTGTTCTTCCCACAGGGGGATTGGAACTGATCAAAGGAGAGCTTGTTCACACACTATAGGGTGTCCCAAACAATAAAGTCGTTTCCAAACAAGAAAAGGTACCAGGACAAAACTAAATGCCAGTCCACCTGGAATTATAAAAAAAGCCTGGATATTCTGAACAATATAAAAGCTAGTAGGGGAAAAGAGAGACGAAAATGTAAGATGTGGGAAGCAATTATTTGTAAATGCTGACCTGCAGGATGGCTGGAGAAGGGAAGTGAACTTGATACCGCTGAAGAGTTAGTGTACAAAGATGGACTTCGTCCCCAGGGAAACATAAGCTCGCCTGGAGTGGAGTTCCCTAGCGTCGCCATCGTCCCCCCCCCCAGAAAGTCCACAGATCTTAATATCACCCCCCCCCATAGGAGTACACTAAAGAAAACAAGAGGATTAGTTTTCTTTCAACTAAGAGAAAAACAAAATTGGATTTCAGTTGTCTGCTGGGGCTAGAAAGGAGGTTAGTCTGCAGGTGCCTGAAGAACTGGGTGTTGAGGGGGTAGAGACTAGCTTACCTGGCTGCGCTGTGGGTCAGGAGTGGGTGAAGAACCCTGCTCGAGATTGCTTGTTACGGAAAAGAAGGGCCGGGGTTCCGAATGACCCTAGACAAACAGGCTGGGCTGAAAAACTGGGGGTGCTGTCTGCCCCTCCACCAGCCTCCCTCCCACTGGTACCTAAGCCTAGAGAGCTACTGAAAGTTACAAATTGCTTCCATTATTAGCTCATCCCGGGCGGCCTGGTCATTGGCCAGCCCAAGAGCACGTGGTGTCTTGTACCAATAGATCGAATTTCTAGTTGCAATTCTCAGTCTGTCCCCCGGCTCTGGGGAAGGGGGGGCAGTAGCACAGGGGTGGGGTGGGGCTAAGGGGACCCTCATCCTCCCTTTCCGACAAGTGGGGGTCCTGAGCGCTGCCCCAGAAAGGGTGGAGAGAACGTTGTGGGTTGGAACACACCGTGGGGGGCAGAAACTGGAGGACACGACGGACATCGCCAGCGTCCAGCGCTCTGTCCCTCCTTTCAGCTGCACCATGTTCACCACCCCTGCGTTAGCACCCTGTGGGCCCAGAGCTGTCCCTGGGCTAAAAGACAAGGCGCTCTCGGATGCTCGGCAATCGCCTCTTCCTTTTTACTTTGGGGACGGTCACAGGCGCCCGCTTCCCCCAGCCGCTTTAGATCAGGCGCCAGGGCCCTCTCGGGCATCTCAACCCCGCCCCCAGGGTCAAATGTGCGGCTCTCTTGGAACTTCTCTGAGAAAGGGACAAACTTTTGAGTGGACGGAAATCTTGAGGACCCTGTCTGAAGCAGGTGAGCGGGACGGGAGCGCGAAGCTTTAGTCTGGAAATCTGCGGCTCCTCTTTCTCTCTCCTCTTTCTCCATCCCTCTTGCTTCGCTTTCTTCTCTGACGCTGACAACTCCGACCTGCCCGCCTTTGCCCTCCAAGGGACCTGGGCTGGGGGTGGGCAGTTACCAGTCTTGGGCTTAGGGCATCTTTTCCCTCCTGAGTTTGGGTGCTAGGGTGGCAGGTGGTGGGGGTGGGAGGGGTAGGGAGACTTCTGAGATTAGGAAAGAAAGGAAAAATTAGGGACAGAGAGACCCAGCGTCCGCAGGCCATTCTTTTTCCCAAATGCAACTTGGAGGAACTTCAAAAAAGTTTTTTTTTTTTTGGTTTGTTTTTGTTTTTCCCCAAGGGAAGGAGAGTTGGGGTTTGAGATTGTAGGTGAAAGAAGTCCACCCCCCTCCAGAAGCAAGGAAGTGTTGCTGGCTCCGGGGACTAGACTAAGTACACCTGAAAAAGCCAAATGCTCACCTCAATGAGACCGTAGGGACCCTTGCAGATCCCAGGAACAGGTGCACAGGGAGGGAGGGGAGCCAGAGACTCTTAAAAGTGGCTGTGCTGGGATGCTGGTGTACGGCACAGCCTTCCCAGGATCTGCTGCTGATTTTAAGTCAGGAGTAGTAAAGGTACTCCCACACCTCTACTACTCTAAAATGCTCTCAAGGGAGTTTGCAACTCTTCCCACTCCCACGCAAACCACAACCCTCCCACCTTCTCCAGGGCCCCAGGGAGGCCAAGGAAAAAAGTCCCCCCCCCCCACACACACACACACTGCTTTGGGGCTAACTGCCCCTCCTCAAGGAAGATACCTAGGGGAAACGATAAGGAGGTTTTCAAAGAGAGGTTCACAAAAGGAATTAAAAGCAGAGGTCGGGCTCAGGGAGGAAGTTGGAGAGGGTGGGAAGGGAAGCAGGAGCAGACTGCAGGCCACAGCAGGTGCCTGACTGGTGCCCACCTGACAGAGGTGTTTGAGGTCAGGCCCTTCTGGGAACCGGAAGTTGGAGGAACCAAACTGAAGGCAAATGTAAAACAAAAACAAAAATTGCATTTGGATCGTTTTTTGAATGAGTGCTGGGTCCCACTTTGAGCCACTTTTGAGTTTTTGATGTGGCTGCCGCTAGGCCCCATTTAGCCTGGAGCATATGTGGAGGAGGG